ACAGTGGAGGGAGTAAGACATCCCAGTCATCTTGGCGGCTATTACAAAACTTTGCCAATTCCTGTCACAGGGTACAGTTGTACTTTTCTACAATCCAATCAGACTGTGGGTGAAGTGGCATTGTCCTGGTTTTTCATATGCCAAACAACTTGCAGCATTCATGGAACACAGCTGATTCGAAGTTATGGCCTTGAATCAGAATGCAGTTCATATGGCATACCAAATCAAGAAATCACTAATAGTCGAAGCTACAGTTCTAGCTTCCTAATTTGGTATTGCATGTGCCTCAGGCCACTTGGTGAAATAATCCATCACCACACAAATGAACCTGTTTCCTGCACGAGCATCGGTCTTCCTTGCAGATGTTTTTTTATTCTACCCCAAATTATCTTCTCTGACATGGGGGGTATAGTTGACTTAAGTGCTGTGACATGCAAATCAACAGATGCAGCAACAGTTACCAGAATTTAGCCTTTGTTGTTCCCAAACGTCATTTTATCAAAATGAACCACACACTTCCTCGGTAGTAAGTAATCTAACCCTAATATGCATTGGTCTTCAATGTCAGCCAAGTATACTTTCTGTCTATCCTTCATGCCCATGAGCTCAATAGTTACCCACACTGGTCCCCACAACCTTGCATAATGTTCTGTCACACCACAGAGATTCTGTATGACTTCTGGTACTCCTTTGTGATCTAGCACCTTGATACTAACAAGGGTTTGCTGAGATGAAGAATCTATGACAAAGTTGCACTTTTGGCCATCCAGCTTTCCTTTCATGTAGACACCATGTGTACTTGCCATTTTACACTTAGCTGTTGGGACTTTCACAATGGGGGTTGGTGGGTGTCCCTCAGCACCAACAACTACTGGTTTCCTGAAGCTGACTTATTGGTGGTATTCTTCTTATACTGGCTCCTCATATGTCTTTGCTCTCCATAGTTCCAACAACCTTTCTGGGTAGCAGCCTTTCCTGCTGTGGCATCTTACCTGTGTTGAAGTTTCTAGCATTGAGCCCTCTTGTGCCCAGGTTTGTTACAATGCCAGCAAAATCCCTCAAACTTCTCTAAGAGCTGTCCTTTAATCCTGATGACTGTATCAACCTTGGTACCTCTGTGCTGGACTTAATATAGGATTCAAATTCAAGAGTTCTGGCCATTGCATCCTGCATTGTAGAGGGGTGTGCTTGCTTTACTTGTATCTTCAGTTGTGGACTGCCCAAGGCATCTTCAAACTGATCCCTCAGCAACAACTTGAGGACATCAAGTGGTGCAGTTGGGTAGGCCTTGTGTGCCATATTTTCCAAATCCTGTGCCAGCTCTTGCAGGCTCTCCCCTTTAGCACAGACTCTAGTCCTAAACCTAGCCCTGTAGACTTCAGACTGATTTTGAGTTCCATACCTGATTTCTAGAGTAGCTACCAGTGCTCTATAGTTGTGCCTGTCGTCTGTTGATAACTATCCAAGTAGTTCCAGTGGTTGTCCCTTCAAGCTCGTTGCCAGGTACATTGCTTTCTGCACCTCTGTCCATCCATTCATTTGTTCCAGTATCTCAAATTGTGCTCTATGTGCTTCCCATGGTGTCTTACCATCGAATTCCTGTGGCTTCCTTCATACTAGATCACCCCTATTGCTGACACTCATGTCTGGAATGTGACTTCTGGCAGGACTGAAGATGTCTGCATTAGGATTTAGCTGCGGCATCTGGAAGGGGCTTCCTGTCGACTGTTACTGATTAGGTCCATGGTTAGTATATCCTCCCTGTGTAAAAAACAGTAAATCGTCCTTTAATGTATTTAATTCACGTTGAAATTTACTGATCTTTTCCATTTGTGTATGCTGACTTTCTCTTAGCTGTTGGAGACTTTCTTCCTGTTTCTTTTCTCATTCCAGTTGCCACTGGTGCTGGTTTTATTGCCACTGCTGTAGTCTCTTATCTTGTTTATTTTCTTTCTCCTCCAACAACTGTTGTAATCTCTCCTCTTGTTTCTTTTCTTTTTTTCCTCCAACAACTGTTTATTTTGTTGTTCGAGCTGTCACTGCTGTTGTCTCTCTTCTTATTTCTTTTCTTTTTCCTCCAACAACCGCTGTAATCTCTCTTCTTGTTTCTTTCTCGTTCTTCTTGCTTCTTTGCTCGTTTATTTTCTCGTTCTTCTTGTTTCTTTTGCTGTTCTTGTATTGCTGCCATCAAATCTGCTAAGCTGTAATTTGATTTGCCACTTCTCGTTTCCATCTTCTCTTTTTTTTCTTTCCATCTTCTCTTTTTTTTTTCTTTTCCATTCCACTCTTTGACACCAATTTGTTGCGTATCTGCTTGTTTGTTAATTCCCCGTAGAAATTCTTTCCGAGGAACTTCAGCAATACAAGTCCCTTCTTAATTAAAACTAGTTTATTCTTTCTCGATACAACTTTGTAATACACAGAATTTTCGCAGTCACTTTAAACTTAACAACCTTTACAACACACGCTATAAATCACAGTGATTCACACACTTTACTTACGGTGCCTACTGTTCGTTTGACTCAATTATCTCTATCTTCAATCCCGCTGGTTTTTCTGGCCAGGCTTATATACTAAAAAAAGAGGGCACCTAGATCAGACTAGAGTTACTGGCCTAAATTCATGATCCTTTGAGAAACTCCAGCGCACACCTTCCAGCATCACATGACTTCCGATGTCAAAACAATATACAGGACTAGTACAATTTATGTCTGATAGCCGATTGTTATATCATTACAGAATATTAATATTATTTGAATCTCACCATGCTATTGCAGTCCATGTCTCATGTTTGGTCATGCTCTATTTGACACAACAGCAAATCTTAGGAAAAGCCCTGCTGTGTAGTTTCCATTACAAAAGGCTTAGTCCTAAAACTATCATGTCCAAAGCACATAACTTCTCCCTGCAGAATTTCAATAACCCATCTAGCATATGAAAATAATGGTTTCCCAGTGCCTGTTTCAACAGTCCAATCAAAGAGAAATCCACAGATTCTGTAACAATTAACTTAAAGGTTATGTCTTCCTACAAAATAGCATGAATACCCATTTCAATCGACAGTTGCTTGAGCCAATGGTTGATTGGAAGTCTTGTTGGCTTTATTACTTGATGGAAACCCGTCCTTTTATGTTGAATAATGTCTCCAGTGACATGAACAGCTTTTGTCACTAACTTTCATGTTTGTGAAGTTGTCATCTGTCCTAAGACATCACAATTTGTTTACCATGCTTGGATACGAGTCATGGCAGGCCTTTTTCCAGATGGTTCTTGGTGCTCTAAGTTAGTCCATATTCCTTTTTTCTTCCAATGCCATTATAGATATTCTAAATCCCCAATCTAGACACAACTTTATGATCTAAGTGTATGAATATTTTGTGTCAGAAAAGGTTGTTACATACCATTCCCAATTTTCAGTAATATTATATTATCTACGAAACATACTGTTTAACCACAATTATATATTGATTAGTTGCCACCTGATTTGCTGATCCAAATAATTAAAACAGTTTCAAAGTTCATGAAAGGGTACTCAACCCTGTATTACTTCCTACCTATAATACATTACAGCACATTTTTACTTCTCAAAAAGAAACATTTCTGTATCTCAGTAGTCAAACAAATCACACAAAAAATCTTAACAGTCAGTAATTACTCACCTAGCATTAACTTTCTTACAAGGTGCCAACCTTATATCCATAGAAATGATTGTATCTTAACACAGTGAAGCCATTCATCCTACAAACATTGTCTTACTAGATTCCAACTATATAACCAAGGAAATGTTAGCATCTTACCACAGTGAAGCCATTCATCCTACAAACATTGTCTTACTAGATTCCAACTATATAACCAAGGAAATGTTAGCATCTTACCACAGTGAAACCATTCATACTACAAATATTGTCTTACTAGGTTCCAACCATATATCCAAGGAAATGTTAGCATCTTACCACAGTGAAACCATTCATACTACAAATATTGTCCAAGGTTCCAACCATATATCCAAGGAAATGTTACAGTCTTACAACAGTGAAACCATTCATACTACAAATATTGTCCTAGGTTCCAACCATATAACCAAGGAAATGTTAGCATCTTACCACAGTGAAACCATTCATACTACAAATATTGTCCTAGGTTCCAACCATATA